AGAAACCAACAATGGGGTGCGTTATCTTTAACAGACAACTTAGTATAGCCAGCACTGAGGTGTATACATAGTTTAGCTAAATCTGGTGTGTCAAATATAGTTTAGTTAATACTTAAGTGTCAACCCTAGTTTAGCTAACACTCTTATGTCAAATGTAGTTTAACTAACACTTAAGTGCCAACCTTTGTTTAGCTAACACTCATGTGTTGAAATTAGTTTAGTAATAATGTACCAAACCTAGTTTAGCTAACACTGACGTGTCAACATTAGTTTATCTAGCAATGATGTGCCAAACCTAGTTTAGCTATCAATGATATGCCAAACTTTGTTTAGTTGACATTTATGTGTTAAAATTAGGTAAGTAATAATGTACCAAACCTAGTTTAGTTAGCACTAATGTACCAGTCCTAGTTTATCATTCTATTATTTCCCAAACTATCATTGATTCTAGCTGGTACATAAAATTCCTGAAGTAGACACAACCCAACTTAATATGGATGTGAAGTTTGTAGTTTTTCTCTGGATATCAAACATAGAACACCATAAATTACCTAAGAAGGTGTTACAGATGAACTCTGAAATCTGGTGACCGGATTTAGATTCCGAGAAATGACTTGATAGTTCTTTATTTAGCATTCGTTTGAACTGTGAATAAAAATGGAAAGTTGAAAATTATAAATACGTAAATTGAACACAAAAATCCACTCAAACATTTTGAATTAACTGAAATATTAATACAATATCTTATCACTTCAAGGCTGTTTAAATTTATTTGAAGTTATATCTGGATATGACCAAAACATAAAATCTGAACCTAAAGTTTGAACACAATAGAATGGTTAAAATACAGGATAATCAAGAACATTTACTCGTTTCCTGGTATGTATTAAAACTCAGTAAAGGAATTGTGTTATTTTGGTGTTTTTATGGCTAGTAACTTAACAAAACCAATGAGTCACAAACATGTTCTAAAACGGACAGTTGACAGTTCATGACTGTAAACTTACTTTTTGCGGACTTCATTCGCTTAAACTGTTTTGTTAAAAAAGATGTTTTGATTTTGTTGTTTTGCAAGTTCTAAGTTATGATATCTACACATGTTAGGAAACAAAAGTCAGGTATTTAATAAGCAGTCATAGTTTTGAAGGGCTAAGCACAAGGTTAAAAGTAGAACTTGCTTATATACAACTGTATTAGTTTTACAGTTCCATTCTTGAACATCTTGATAGCTTAAACGTGTGTTACTTGTATTCCAATATCCAAATCTGAGTTATAACATACATTTCTTCAAGGTTTGCATACATACTTAACCATGTACTGACGTGAAATAGGGCGTACTTTGTAAAAACTGTAATCAAGTGATAACCTAGTCAGAGAATCTTATATGTCTTAACATTATATACTCCCACTATTAACTTGTTACCTGAAACCAGATGTATATCATTGTTATATAAGTAGAACGTAGATTATATGTAATGTGATTTGAGTTGTCTTTCATTTATCACAGTGGATTTGTATGTACAGAAGATTTGAAGGATATGTAACAATGTATTTCATTCATCACAGTGGATTTGTATGTACAGAGGATTTGAAGAATAT